TTCTGAAGGATGAGGATATTGTAACAACTGATGTTAAAATTTATGTACTCTCAAGTGCAAATTTAAACTTTAAGAATATTCATCTTTTGTGTCTCTTTCTCTGACTTTCAGGCTCATATTTATATCTCAAAATCACACAAAAAACAACAACCAAAACCATAAATGCACACAAATACATTACATGACACTCAAATCCATTTTAATGATGTCAAATATTCATCACTATTAGATGGATCTGTTTGTGAAACTTTTGGTAACAATAAAGCCAGAATCCCAACTTGGTAGCAAAGTGCACAGAAATCCCAATACTTAGGGAATTTTGCAAAACCATCAATAAGTCAAAACATTGATAATTTAAGTAAAAAAGACTTGTTTCCTGAGTTAGAGTGATAATTAATATTTTACTTTGATTATCAAGAAGGCACCTGTCTCTAGCACACTCACCTTGCACATGTGTGGTGATGTTCTCATCTTGGTCTTGAAATGCTTTTCTGACTTCATGCATGACAAAATGGCTAAATCCGTGCACTATCCTGAATGACTGGACATGAGATGTTACTTGTCTCATCACAATATGAGGCCACAGGAGTACAGCCTCTATGCTGTCCTTTTGCTCATGGGCTTGAGTCTTCACAGAGGACATTACTTGTGCTACATCAAAGCTGGTAATGACCACTGGTATCAGATGGATGATGCAAAGGTCTGCTCCTGGGTCCTGACATTGGCCTTGAAATGCCTATGTGCAAAATGCCTATGTGATCTTTTATGTGCACAAGAGTGGATGAGACGAGTCCAATCCTGACCATCACTGGGCCAGGGAGCACCAGTATACCAGGAGAGCCTGAAAAGCATTCAAATATGGAAGCCAAAGAAGCCAACATGACTTGGAGCAGAGAACTCAGGAACTCAGCTTAGATGAGTGGAAATACCTGCTAGAAATCAAGAGTGCCTTCAACCTCAGGAAAATGGGGCGCAGCCTGCTGACCACAGCAGTCCTGATTCATCAGGCATGATCTAGCATGCAGCTGAGCAGCCATCTTCCAAAACACAAAAGCTCCCAGCAGTGCAGATCAGCTGGACACCTATACATTAGCTGCTTGACAACTCCAGCCAGCTCCCTGGTCTGGCAAGCAGAGGCAGAGCCAGAGCTCCCAAGAGGAAACACAGATATGCAAAGAGGCTGGTCCTGCATATCTAGTCATTTTCCTACAGGCCTTTTTCATATACTTTGTTTGGTGGGAGGGTAGTGTACGGCCTCATGGGGTTGGTGAGCACCTGCAAAGAGATTGTAGGTGATGATCTCATCTCTCAAGGAAGGACATGCTTTTCATTCTTTCATGCATTAATAAGGAGAGACTCTTGGTTTGTGTGTTTGTTTACTGATTTCTTGGTGGATTGAACATACATAGCTTTGGTTGGGCCTGCTTGAGCTCTAAAGGGCATTACAAATATTTTATTGAGTGTACAGGCTTGGATCCCCACAGCTCCATCACTGAAAGCCTGATGGAGCTGAGAATATATGGGAACACTCACTGGTTCCTGTCTTTGGAACCAAGGACTTCCCATGCACATACACAGTGGGAAGTGGAAAATGACAAGTTGTGAAGGAGATGAAAGAAAATCAGTGGGGGAAGGGATTTGCAAATGGGATGGCAGATGAAATTCCTGCTTCTGGGGAGCTGTGTCAATCCATGAATGAATGAATAAATTGATATTTTAAAATAATAACAATCAAAAAATAACCATGACTCATTTCTAAGTCAGAGTGAAAATTAATATTTCACTTTGGTCATTTGTTCATTGAGTGATGGATTCAACATTAACAGGGAGACAGAGTCAGAAACAGAGAAAAACAAGGAGACATGGAGTCTCCCAGACACTGCCAGATCCCATCACCAGCTGAAGCCAAGTGGCACTGAAGCCTCAGCCAGGATCTTCTAGGTGTCTTAGCTGGTTTTGGGGAGCCAATGCTTTAGGCCATTTTTCACTGCTTTCCCAGGCCACAGGCAGGGAGCTGGGTGGAAAGATGATTAGTCAGGATATAAACCAGCACCTGTGTGGGAAACCAGCCATGGAAGGCAGAGGATTTGCTGGTTTATTGATAGTGCTAGCCCTCAAACCCTAATAAATGGATCTGCAGCATGCGATGTTAACCCCTGTTGGTGCGACTTGAATGGAACCAATTCCTCCCAAATTTGCATGTCTCCAAACACTCACTCTATGTCCCATTTGCTTTCTTTGTCACACACTCACACACATGCATGTACAAATAATGGTCTGATGCCAACAATATTTTAACTAGCCTGGTAGTATTTGTTAGGGATCAATAATTTGTAAATGTTTTGTAACACCAAACATTCTTCTTACATACATGCACACATATATGTGGCCACATCTACACTAACCACACACATATAGGCACTGATGTGAATTTCCACACAAGCAGACTGGAGAGATTTTAAAAATTAGAGAATAAATCACACATTACAGAGTAATGCTTCAAGAATACAAAGTTTAATTTATTCTTTCCCGAGTTTTTCCCTAATATTCAGTCATAAAACATCATTGTCTCAACCAGTTTCAAGGGGAGCATTTCTGCCCAGACTTTCCTTGAATGGCACAGCAGACAGAAAGGAGTTATTAGTTCCACTCTACTCCTCTTCCCCATGAGGTCTCCATTTTACAAGGCTGACATCACACCATCAGATCTCAGGCACTTGTTGCCAGTAAAATTCCAATAAAAACCACATTTAATCTTGAAAAAAATTGCAAGTTGTGATAACTGTGTCTTCTTTCAGAATATTCTGAGGCTCAAAGAATGCTCTTATTTTAATCAGCACATGAAGACATTCTGTGTCAACAGGCACTGCCTACTCCTTGCCTCTTTCCTGTGCCTAGACAGATCACCATGCCCAAGTCACCTTAGAGGAGAGCCTGAGTTTTCTTGTTTTGGTGTCTCACTCACAGTCACTCTGCTCAGTTATACCTTTTTAGGTCTGAATATAGAACAGTAAGTGGAAATTGGAAACAGCAAATCTCTTCTCTCGCCTGGGAGTGTTTTGAGAAGGATTCAGAATATGAGTAAACTGTTGTAGTAGCCCAACCATGGTTTGAGTACTCCAATTGTTACTATACAATCAATTATGTGAAGATCATTCTGAAAGAGGAATAGCTTCAGACATATTGGTGTGGTTGGCCATGAAAGGCAGCACAGGATTGGAGACTATTTTGGCGAGGTCTGGTGCTTGGTGGCTGCATGTCAGTCTCGAACTTTTGGGCTGGTGGGCCGTGTGTGTGAAATGTTCCTTCCATGTACTGTTATAATTGGTAGTGTCTGCAAAGTCTGTATTTTCCCTCGCTCAGAGGTCTGAGTTGTCTTCTGAGGAATTTCAAAGGGGCTGTCCTGTTGCTTTAGCTGTATTGTCAGGTGTGGATGGCATTTTTACTAATTCATTTTCCTGAGTGCTACTGCTGAGTTTTGAGTCTGTACTCCCTTTCAGTTCTTCAGAATGTAGACCTGAGGTTGAACTTCAGAAAACCTCATTTGTCCCTGATCGCTTCATGTTTGGTTTAGGTCAATGTATTGTGAAGATCTTGTAATAAGGCTGGACTATTAGGTCTGTGATCTGACCCACGTAGGAAGTGGAGTCCCAGCCAAATAAATTCAGTCTAGGCTAGATTTTGTCAGTGTTACTTTATTCTTGGCATTTCTTCTGATCAAATCTTGAGAAAGAATCACAGTGAAGTGTTATGAAGGAAAATTTAGGGTCCTGGGGCAGATTGCAGGAGTAGTGGCTGTCTTTTAAATACAGGATATTTGAGACCAAGGTTTGCAAGCTGTGTTTCAGGTCACATGCAGTTAGGTCAAGATAACATACCACCTGGAATGAAAGGTATACCTTGGAGCATATTTATTACATATGACTGGTAAACAGGATGAGGGTGGCATTTAAGTACTTATCAGGGAGATTCTTCCACAGCTTCTCCAAGGACAGAGATTGGGGCACGCCCAACACTCTAGCTGCATGCACAGTGAACAAGTCAGGTTGGAGTCTCAGTTAGCCAAGACTATTGTCAGGGGATTCTCCAGGGACACGGTATGCTTATGGATTCCTGCATCATTTCAGCAGGCAGAGATACAAGGGTGACCTACACCACAGTGTTAAAGGAGACAGAGGCCAAATGGGATCCACATTTCACCAAATGACATGAGAATCTTCACTTCAGAAAAGATTCGTCCTCCACAGCTGGATCTTTAGGGCAATTGACACATGCTTCATTGTCTCTTATTCCAATATTTGTAACAGATTGTGGAAAGTTGAGATTCTAAAAATGCTGTAGTAGATAAATGTGTAAATGATAACCACAGAATACCAAACAAGTGCTATGCACTAAACATTTATTATCAAGATTAATATCTGAATGCAGAATTCATTCAGTTTTCACCTCACAACAATAGATCATGAAATCACATTTGAATTATTTTAGCAACACATAGCCAGTGTTATAAAATGTACTCATTCCGCATGTTTATCATTTAACACTTGCTTAGACTTTTCCACATATATTGCACTTTTGCAGTGGTGTTCATTTATGCTTTTGCTGATGCTTGTTTCATTCACTTTCTAAGTTCCAACAGACCATGACAACTGGTTTGTGGTAACTTGTTTTCTGTTCACATGCTATGTCTGAGCTTCGTGGTTCTGCTGAATATTGACATCAGAAATGTGAGTTTTCATTCAGTGATGTGATATTTTATTCATTTCTGCAGGTATGTCAGTATTGATATGCTTACACTTTCTACTACACTCAAGATGTAGTTTTGTTTGAATTTTTACACAATGGTCATAAATTTATACTGTGAATCTTTTGCCATACTCATGTTCCATCTTTGTGAATTTGCTGTTGTAAAATGAGACCTAACTGGAAGTAAAGATTATATTCCTAAAATTTTCTTAGGTGTGGATCCTCTGATGTGAATTGAGACCTGAACGTCTGGCAAAAACTTTTCCGCACTTACTACATTCATATGGTTTTTCTCTTGTGTGGATTCTTTGATGTGTTGTAAGACTTGACTTTTGGGTAAAAGCTTTTCCACACTGGCTACATTCATAAGGTCTTACCCCTGTGTGGATTCTCTTATGAGTTATGAGATATGACCTGTAAGCAAATGCTTTCCCACACTGGCTACATTGATAAGGTTTTTCCCCTGTGTGGATTCTTTTATGTGTTCTGAGACATGAGCTTTGGATAAAAGATTTTCCACATTCACTACATTCATATGGTTTTTCCCCTGTGTGGATTCTCTGATGTGTTATGAGACGTGACTGGTGGGAAAAAGTTTTTCCACACTGGGTACATCCATAAGGTCTTTCTCCAGTGTGGATTCTCTGATGTATGATTAGGTGTGACTTCACAGAAAATGCTTTTCTACACTCACTACATTCATAAGGTTTTTCCCTGGTGTGGAGTCTCTGATGTACAGTCAGACCTGAGTGTCTGGCATAAGTTTTTCCACACTCAGCACATTCATAAGATTTTTCCCCTGTGTGGATTCGTTGATGCCTGATTAGGTGTGATTTTTTAGAGAAAGCTTTTCCACACTCACGACACTCATAAGGTTTTTCCCCTGTGTGAATTCTCTGATGCTCGATTAGGTGTGACTTCACAGAAAAAGCTTTTCCACACTCACGACACTCATAAGGTTTTTCCCCTGTGTGAATTCTTTGATGCTGGGTTAGGTGTGACTTCTGAGAAAAAGCTTTTCCACAGTCTCTACATTCATAAGTTTTCCTCCCTGTGTGAATTCTCTCAGGTCTCTTGATAAACAATTGCTCATCAAAAGCTTCTCCAGACTTATTGCATTCATATCGCTTCTCTTCAGTGAGAAGGATCTGATCTCTTCTAAGTTCTGACTTCTGGTACATGTTTTCTTTACATTCATTACACACATAGAAACGTTCTCCTGTGTCAGTTCTCTGCTTGGTGGAAAGGCAAGATTTACAACTAAAAGATTTTGTACAGTAGCTGCACTTATAGTAACTTTTTGCTGTCTGGCTTATCTGATTTGTGTTGACATTTGTTTTATACATAAGAGATTTCTCATTCTTGCAATGTCCATGGAGTCTCCCTCTTGATTGTGTTTCCTGATTCTTGCCAAAATGATTGTTGTGGAACATTGTCTTCTCAACCTGAACTGTTTCTCCCACATTGACAGGTTGCTGATTACATGGCTCTTTAGTATAAACTGGCCCACACATAAGGGATATCTTCTTCCCACTGAACGCTTTTTCTTTCCCATCATGTTCAAAAGACTTTAGACAAATGTCTGTCTTGTCCTGCTGAGTGAGACTTTCTTCACTCTGGAGGCTATTCTCGGGGACATTAGAAGCATGCTTTTTCCAAAATAGCATTTCATTAGGCTTCCTATAGAAAAAAAAAAAAAGAAAGAAATTATGGAGTCTCTCCCTCTCTCCTTTCAAGAGTCACCTCATCTCTGAGCTCCCTCCTGGGAGCTGCTTTTCCAATCCCTTTTCCAAGTTCACCTGTTCATTTAGCATTTAAAACTTCTGTCTACAATGATTCCTACTTTCTCTGTCTATAAGTTCATGAGAGAAAAACTGAGTGTTCCTGGTAACACTTGCTGGAGTGTACAACATGGCATATGAAAAAGACTTTGTTTCTTAGACCACAGATATGTGGCTTGACTCAGCAGGAAGAGAAGACTGCACAAGGTTGGTAACCCATCAGGTGGAACTGAACCTGTAAAAATGACCCTTGGCACCCTATGGCTCTGCATAAACCTGCAGAATGCACCCACACACTCACCCACACAACCACTACCACTGCTAAAACTTCAGATGGATTGTACTTTCAGGTGGGTGCAGATAGGAAGCAGAGCAATTTAAGACTTAAGACGCTGTAATCACCAACTACCTTCTTCTGGGTCTCCCAAGAATGTGCCAGGTTAAAATGTTTTGGGATGTTTGACTGCTTTCCTGGGCCATAAACAGTGACCTGGGTGTTAAGTAGGGCCACTAGGATGTGAATCAAAGCTGATAAGAGATCCCAGCAAGTGCAAGGTGGAGATTTACCTGCTAGGCTACCATGGCATGCTCTTGGGTGTGATCTTTTGCAATGACCTATTTGTGCCTTTGCGTTACACCCACTACACTTCCTAGATGAATTGAGAAAAAAACAGTCTCTTTGTTTTCTCTTCTGTCTCAATTTGATCACACACATGGCTTCCAATCTTAGAGACCCAAACAGCCATAGCATTACAAGTGTACATTTTGAGATGTGTAACAGGAGCTATTTCCTGGCTGGTTGAACAAATGGGAAATGTCTTACGAACAGGTTCTTGCCTAGACAAGGAAGGATCAGGGACACTTAAAAGCCTCATTCAAGAGGCACAACATCTCCTGGGTCTCTCCCAATAAATGTTATTCGATTCTCTCTGCTTTATACATTCAGTTGGTCACTTTGCAAATAAAACTTCTATCTGCAAATATGCATAAATAGAAACAATGAAATCATTTCTCAAGTTTTTTTTTTTTTTTAATGTACAATTTTCCTTTCAGTTCATGTTTCAGTTACGGCCAGAGCTAATACTAAGCATCTTTGGTAATGACTTTTTCTTTGGAATTATTATGTCATTTTTGTGATTACACCTTACCTGAGGAATATTTCTTGACTTTTCTGATTAGCTCCAAGCAGCTCATTCTTTCTGTAGGCATCTGAAATGAGGAAAACAGTAGCCATATGCATGAATCACACCAAAGTGTTTCTTTTCCAATGCTCAAGGAAAGTCAAATACATTTGTTGCCATTGTAGATACAGCAGATTTTAATATTAGTAAAATGTGGACATTTATGAGCATTATTTATGAGTATTACATCTTTTTATTAATGCATTCATAAAATAACTTTTAAAAAAATTCAAGTATTTGGATTTGTGTGCTTTTAGTTGATACAGCACAATACAGAAAATGTGGTAGATAAATTCACAATAAAGTTTGGGTATCTTATATCCCATAACAGTGCCAATTTTTCTCATCTTGGCTATTCTGCTTCAAATAAAACTTCTTGAAAATGTATCTTGGGAGATGGCAGATGATAATTTAAATGCTTGGGATCATTGAAAAGACCAATATATAGTTCCAGCTTTATGGTTATAGACTGGCAAAGTTTGAAAGGTACTGCTAGAAAAAATCTAAATATGGAGACTGTAGAATGTCTATGTCTCCTCAGCTGTCCTTTAGGAAGAAACTTAAAAAAAAAAATCGCAGAGAATCACAATCAACATGTACTGAGCTATGTGTCAATTTCCTGCCCACTATGTGCTGACCTACCTGAAAGTCCCTGGTTGACAGATTTTTCCACCATCTCTGGTGCTGATTCCTGCTCCAACTTGAGGATCACATCAGGCTTTGTCATGTGGTACCCTGTTCATGGAAAATAATGTAAACATTGTGAAATGACTACCAGTCCCACCAACTACTAAACTTGATACACTCTTCTTTCATTTGTCATCTATGCAGAAGTATTCTGCTTGGGCAGGACAGAATTTCACTCACCCACAGACAGCAGATTGTTATAGGTCTCAAGCATCACCTCTCTGTACAGGGTCCGCTGAGCACTGTCCATATTCTGCCATTCCTCCTGGGTAATATCCACAGCCACATCCTCAAATGACACCAACACCTGTAACAGCACATGTCTCCTCAGTTCTGGATCATTAAATAGAAATACTGACAGTGCTTTGTATATATATTTAATTTGCAACTCTTATGGATGTAACTTAAATCACAATCAATACAGCATCGTAGAGTAACAAATTGAAAACATCTTGTCCTGTATTACTTTTGCAATTCCAATACTTCAATGGAACATTCCTTATCCTCTTAAAGGTTGATTTCTCTAAACATTCAGATTCTAATGAATTGTTGAAGGCACTGCTAGAATACACCTTCAACCAAACACTGAGGCAAAATACTAACTCAGGAACTGTAATAGTAAACTGAGTGTAATTCTGTGTGCAACTTCTATAGATGCAGCCTAATTTACAACCTGTATAGCAACATAGAGTAAAAACTAAATAAAATATCTTGCTCTGTACTATTTTTGCAATTATGAAGTTACAATTCCCTTATTATTCTGTAACAGATTGTTTTCTGTAATAATTATGAGTTCACTGTAATCTGTAGACATATATAAACGCATAAGCTAAATAACATGTCAGATAAGAAAGACGCATATTTAATATTGCACAGAAGAATGAGGAAATCTTTGAATAATTTATGAGTGTTTTTCTCACACATCCAGATATTTAAAAATCATATTAAGCAATAATGCAATCCAATTTTGTTATTCCAACATGAAGTGATAAAATATTGGAAATATTTTTAACTGATTTTGAATAAATAAGTATATATTTCTTATAACTCAGAACTTTATATATATATATGTATCCAGTAATTTAAAAATATATGTATAAGTATCCCATAATCCTTTTTAAATTTTGAGTCTGTACATACAAAAATTCATTCTACTTTCTATTTTCCTTTTTACGGCTGGAGAGTTCTGGGGGTTTGGGTCTTTGAATCGCTGTTTAGGTAGTTCCAGTTAGAACCCACTGTGATTCTGGGATGTGAGTCAATCCTATAGATTCCCAATGACAGTAACTACTTTTTTGAAGAACTTGGAATCGCATAACAATTCTGAGCACCGAACACCAGTTAATGCAAAAGCTAAAGGTTGGGGCTTGTCCAGCAGGATATCCTATTACCTGATATGATGATGGATCAGCAGATGCTTCACATTAGGCAGGGCCATGACATTAACTAGCACTCGAGAACTATATCCACGGGCGATATGTGGGCCACACCCTGTGGATATTCTAGCCCTACTTGTTAGCTCAAGAGATTGGGTGGTGATGGACTAAGCTAGGTGTGACCAAGGAGCTTGCCATCAATTACAGGTAAAGGACCCCGCAACAGTCTGGACTGGTCAAGGCAGGAGCACCTGAATGTGCATCCTGATCAGGGTCTGGGGTGGGCCAGGCTACAATATTCACCTGCTCATACACGGCCAAATGGAAGGCCAGACTGTGCCAAGCACTGCCCTAAAACCCCATTGGCATGTATGAGAACTGGATCGGGGAGTGGATCAAGTGGAGGAATTTGCGAAACTCCCTTGGCGAGTCATAGCTCCCACTGGTGAACATGTGGTCCAGACCTGGGGGTCAGACAAGCTGGACTAAGCAGCTCCAACAGTTGGCTAATGTGTTAATTGGTAATGGAACAGGATGTACTGGGCAGGAATGAGCAAACTTTAGCCTACAAACGAAACTAGAAACCAGCACGGTGCACAGATCATGCCAAGTTAGGCTCTTGCACCAACTGGTCTGCATGAGCCAGGAATGCTAAGCCACAGTGTCTAAGGCAGAGGCCAGGACTGGTGAGGGGCAGTGACAAGCTGAGTCAGAACAACCACTGGCGTGCGCATAATCTACAGCTCAGTACAGGCCCAGTTGGGGAGCTAAGGGGACACCCAAACTGAGTTGAGATTCCCATCAAGGGGGCGCGTGTGCTGGAATGGGGCTGCATTCTAACCAGGAAATGGTTGTGGACTGGACTGGATGCAGTGGGCCGGGCCAGACCCCAACACCATCTGGTGTCCTGGAGGACCAGGTTAGATGTGGGATGGAGTAGGCTAGGCCTCAACCCCTACTGAGCCATGTGTGAGCCATATGTGGGTATGGATGAGCAATCGCTGGGCTGAAATACCCAACAGTAAGAACCAGTTTGGGTTGAAGGCCATTCAGGAAAAGCCACTGTTCCTGCTAGGACAGGGGGTGAATTAAGTAGTTCTGGCTCATGGACCCCCCTGGTATGTGCAAAATCTGGCACTGGGAGAGGTTCTAATGCAGGAGCCTGGGCAATTCCTCTGGCAGGACACAGTCCCTGCAGGTAAGTGCAAGAAGCATAATAGGAAGCAGCCCAGAATAGGCCATTGAAAGTTTCCCACTGGCATACATTTGGCATGGGTTGGGGGCAGAACAAGCTGAATCAATTCACATCATCGATTGGCAAAGCCAAGCAACAGAACAGAGTGTGGGTTGAGCCAGGTTCAGCTGCGACACATACCAGTGCACAATATTGAACGCCAAGGTGAGGTTGCTTGTACTGGATGTGACCGCAGAACCCAAGCAGCTCACGCATGAGAACCAGGAAGGGAGGGGTCAGGGCTGGCAGGAGATATAAGGGAGGGTCCCCTAACCAGACAGCTACTTGCACTGGAGAGTGTGGGCTGGGAAGGGAAGACCAGACTAAAAGCAGGGCTACAACACCTGTGCGTCTCATGTGGACAACATTAGGGAAAAGTCAGGCTGGGCGTTTTTGATCCTACTGATGCAAACATAAATTAGAGTGGTCTAGGATTGTTTGGGCTTAGCTGCAGCATCAGCTGGCAGAAGCTGGCACTGGGTGCTTGTCAAGTCAAACTACAGAACCACCTGAAGAGTGCATAATGCAGGAGTGAGAGAGATCTGGGAGCAAAACAGTGGGCTCCTTCCTCTTGGGTTACGACTCCCTCAGGAGGGCACAAGTAGGATGGGGGATGGGGTGACTAGACAGAGAGGCACTCAATAACATCTGTGAGGGCTGCATTATTGAGCCAGTTAGATGGAACTAATCTTCAATACCAATGGAGATGTACGACAGCCAAAAGGGATGTGGGACAGACTGGACTAGTCTGCTACATATTCTGGCAAACCAGGGTAGGGGGAGGGCCTGGTGGGGGTTAATGTGGGTCACTCCGACTAGGCTGCAGCTCCCACTGGTTTATGTAAGGGCCGAGTTTGTGCTGGGCAGAACCAGGCTGGACTGCAACACCCATTGGTTCCAGTGGAAGTCGGGGCTGAAAACAGAATAGACCCAGCAACTGCAACCACCAGCTGATCAGGGCGATGGACTGTGCTGGGCCCTGTGTTTGCTAGAACACATAGGAATCTGGTCTGGGAATACCTCAACGTTTCTCTGGGGATCTCCCCAATCGAAATGCCAGACTCAGAACCCTAACCAGGAAAAGAAGACAGAACAAATCAATCAACCACCCAGCTATATGTTGGCAGTGAAATACTCGGCAAAGGAGACTCTATGATGGACTATGTCAATCATTGGATTCTTCAACGACCTTATCGTGGTTAGAGTTACAAGATTGGCAGTGATTCATAACTGGTGAACTATCAAAACCACTTGAGCAAATGTCTCAGAGCATTCCCACATCAGGGACTTGGGGTGGGTGGAAAAATGGGTAGGGCTTCTCCCTCAATATCCCCTTTTACCTCAGATACATGAAGGAAACAATATGGAAATAAGCCTTACCCACTTCCCTATAGCCCTTGAACCTTTTTACTCTAATTAACCATGTAAAGATGTCAAAAAACAGTAAAAAATCAATACACAATAAAAATCATTAAACAAAAATTTTAATTACTACATAGAGAACTACAGCATAGCAAGGAAACAAACTGCAATCTCATACAGAGCTATCTTTTTATAAGCAGCAGGTAATATCACACAGTCACAGCCTGCCCGTTGAACAGAAAATATACACATAAGGCAAATGCCACATTGTAACAGATCTGTTTTTTTAAATGTGTTTTAGAAATCCTTTAGGATTAACCACTTCTCTGGTTTTTCTTGTCTTTTTGCCTAGTTACTTATATACTGATTTTAATATAAAAACAGAATTAATGTAGCCAATATACACAATTATAATTCTTTTGTATCTTCTATTTTTTCCTGTGTAACAGGAAAAAAATGTAATTTTTAAACATTTATGTTTTAAATGCACATTGCAGTCAAGAACTTAATTTTTCATTAAATGATTCAAACAAATGTAAAATGATGAGTTTAATAGGTAAGGGCTACAAATATGAAATCATATAAATCAAAGAAATCAGATCCGCTTTGCATCAATAGTGAAAGACACCATAGTTTCTCCTGTTTTGTTTTTGTTGCTTGTGATTCTTTAAGCTACTTTGCATAATGGAATATCATATCTGTATATCTGCAGCTAAGATATTTCATTAACAGCTTCACCAATTTTGATGAAATCCACAGAATTTTATTTTTCACAGCTGAGTAACATTCTACTGTACATATATATCATATTATATATTGCACATATATACTATGTTATATAATGTAGATATATACTATGTTTTTGTCATCTAATGATCGACAGCTTGATTCAGTACTATAAACAAGATAGTATAAATAAATCGGTTATAGGTATCTCTTTCACATCATATGTTCATAACTTTCAGAACATACAAGTAGCACTTAGATTGCTCAATCATATACCAAGCTAATTTTTAATCATCTAAGAAGTTTTATACTATTTCCCACACTTACTGAATTAATTTATAA